TTTTTTTTTTTTTTTTTTTTTTTTTAAATGTGCGATAACAAGATTGACATTCGTACAATATCAAATTTGTTATAAAAATTTAATAGTTCTCTTATCGAGAGATTATTCGGAATTATAATCCGAGTTATAGCACGAATAAAAATTCTTCGTCGTAAATCTATTTTACAACGCGGATATTCTCGAACATTCGTACGAATAGTTAGTCGGGGCAGCGTCGATTGTATTAATCTTGAAAACATGGAAGGAAAGAAACGGAAGAGTTAAATGAAGGGGAACCAGCTGATTCATCGTTTTCAGTAGAATCGTCCCGTTGCGGGTCAGCCTCGCGTCACGCACGCAAGAATATTTTCGTGGAAACGAGACTTTCCTCGGGAAATACCCAGCGATCGGTCAACTGCGACCAATCCGTGTGCATTGGAATCTGTGAGAATATTTTCGAAACTTTTCTCGTAGAGATTTCATCGTATTTCCATGAAATTTTAGAAATTTTTCACACGCCAACAATATTAATCTAATTATAATTATTTAATATTATAATAATAACGTGCAATTTTATATCGTAAATTTAACTTTTTTTATTTATTGGTAAAAGTTCGTGCAAATTTTTATTAGAATAATTTCGCTACTGGATATCCTCCGATTTCTCGTATTGCGAAATTAGTAGAAAAATTAATTCTTTCGAAATCGAATGAAACGAATGTGTCGACACAAAATTTCTAAAAATTAAACAAATCGCTTTCGAACAACAATAAATTTGTAATATTTTCAACTCGTTTTATAGAATTTGTATTTGCAAAATTATTATCTGGAAGAATATTTGAATACGAATTTGAATTGAAATCACATTCAATATTACACCACCCAATTTTCTTACGTGTTTCCATCTCACGAAAGGCCGCAATTTCACGTCAGCGGCTGAGGATGCGTAACCACGTTCCCGCAGAAACCGCCAAGAACCTACCACCGATCCCAAAAAGAATATTCCTCAACCCCGACCAACAAAACCACCGACATCCCTCCACCACAAACACTGCTCTATTAAACTTTCTAAAAACATGCCATTACGTAAATTTACAATTCGCTAAATCAATCTCTCCACCAAAGTGTCAGATCAATTCGAAGAAATAGTAAAAGAATCGAGAAAACTGGAAGAAAAATTAATATTTGATAACGTAGAGCGTTTCGATCGAATCATGGTTAGTATTATTTGGATGGGCGATTGTTTAGAAACATTGTTATCAGTTGATATTATCAGAGCTCGTTTCGAATCGTAAGTCTTTGTCACGAGAAAAATTTCTGTTCTGTTCGTGGAAAGTAGCATAGTTACCGAATTAAAATTTTCTTTCTGTGAAAAGAATGAGAGAAAGAGTATAGCTATTGGTACCACGCTATGTTGTTTGTTCCATCCTTTTGACTCGCAGCGTGAGTCGCTAGTTCACTAAGTATATTGTACTTTCTTCTATTCTTTTCACAGAGAAAATTTTAGTTCATTTTCTTCTTCACTCTTTCATAAAGAATTTTTATTCAACTATATATAATACACTACTACTTTCTTCTATTTCTTTCTATACAGAGAATTTTATTAGCCGTATTATTTTATTTTTCACTCTGTCTACGAATTTTTCCACTAAACAACCCTAACCCCTTCTAACAATCTCAAAAACCAATGCTGATTAAGCGTTAAATATACACACAA